ACAGCCCAGATGGTCATATGGGGAGGGAAAGAATAAAGATTACAAAGAAGAATGGAGTCATCCTTAGAAACAGTCATTACTTAGGAACACCATAGCACACTAACAAGAGATAGGATCCTAGCCTATGATAGGATCTGCATCACCATCCTCTAGAGAACATTCTCACACATTGCCTGCTTTTTCAAGATGAGGAACTAAGGCTGTAGCATTAAGTGACTTTTCCTCAGTGGAACAATTAACATGAAACCCCAAAGTGTCTGGTTGACATTTCCCCTTAAAAATGGGAGCAGTGATTATCGGGGAAAGAATAAGATCTGACACTTTTAATCTTGGTAAGGTCACCACTGCCCAGCTAGGTTGAGGTACAGGGCTGAACACCCGTGGCATCCATAGTTCCTTAGGTTCAACAAGAAAATAGCTGTCTTATCAAATCCCAAGCCTACTCCTCCTTGTACAGGAATCAAGCCACATACCTTGTCCAGTTAGTGACCAAAGATGATACAAGAATAAGATACAAACATAGTTTTTCTGCTTTCATCAGTGAGGGTGCTGAGGTGTAGCTTTTGTTGGTCATCTAGATGTCAGGATCATCTAACAACCAGCCACCTCCACCATTCCCCTCATCTTTAACCCAATGAGATCAAAGTCATGTACCTGAGGTGCATCAGCCTGTCTTAGTTATGGTTTCTATTGCTGTGAAGAGACACCATGACCATGACAACTCTTATAAAGGAAAAACATTTAATTGGGGCTGGCTTACATTTTCAGAGGTCTAGTCCATTGTCATCTTGGGGGGAAGCATGGCAGCTGGCAATATGGCAGCATGCAGGCAATCATGCTGCTGGAGAATTAGGCATCTTGATCTAACGGCAACAGGAAGTAAACTGAAACACTTGGTGTGGCTTGATCATATATGAGACCTCAAGGCCCACCTTTGCAGTGACACACTTCCTCCAGCAAGGCCACATCCATTCCAGCAAAGCCACACCTCCTAAGAGTGCCACTCCCTGTGGAGGCCATTTTCTTTCAAACTACCACACAGAGGCAAGATCAGTGCTTTATCTGCCTTGGTCTCGGTGGCAGTTTGAATGAGAATGTCTCCCATAGGCTCATATGCTTGAGTACCTGTTCCCTAATTAGTGGAACTCTTTGGGAAGGGTTAGGAGGTAGGACCTTGTTGGAGAAAGTGTGTCACTGGGGGCAGGTTTTGAGGTTTCATAAGACTCGTGCTAGTCCCAGTGTGAGCTCTGTCTTCTATTTGCTCATCAAGATGGAGTTCTCAGCTGTTCCTGCCTCCATGCCTTTGTTCCTCTATCATGGACTCTAACCCTCTGAAATCATAAACCCACATTAAACACTTTCTTGTAAGTTGCCTCTGCTATGGTTTCTTATCACAGCAATAGAGAAGTAACTATGATGACCTCCAAGGTCCATCTCCCAGGTATGTCCCCCCAAATGTCAGTGATGACCTTGCCCAAGCAATTGGTGGTTAGAAAGGTCTGAGACTGATAGTCAAACTGACCATTTAGAACAGACCCAGGCTAAGTATGTACCTTCTGCCTTCATCCTGGTCAGCAAGCCTTCATGGAGCCACCAAGAAGCAGGAAGCAGCAGAAAAGCATTAGAAACCATGGGAATACCACTTTGATGAGATTGTCAACATTGTCTGATAGATGTGGGACTAGTCTTACCCGGAGAACTCTCCAGAACTATTAAGGAGATCCTGGGTACTGCACAATATGTGCACAGCAATGTGGATGACTGCCACCCTCATGACATCATTGATGACATCAGCAGTGGTACTGTCAAAGCTCAGCTACTGTAAGAGCAACATGAGAGTGTTTCAACAAATGATCATCTGATGAAGAAAAGATACAAACTTAGCTTTTTATAAATGTATTCTTCTTTTTGCACATAGGCGTTGGTAGGTGCTAGCTTTACGGTGGTGTACAAAGTAGATATTATTTTTCTATGGCTCCTGTTGTTTCCTGTTCAGTAATAGATGGCTGTATACATATTACACCAGATTATAATCTTTATGAGTTTAGAACCCAGAATTCAGATACCAAGTGTTCTGAATTGGCATAGATCTGTACAAAGTTGGAGAACACTATTCATTTAAAAATGCTTGTTAAGTGGCTATGAAATGTAAGTGATGCTCTCAGTGGTGGAATACTACAGATGAAAATCTCCTGGAACTTCTTTTCTAATGAGGGGGTAGATTATTATTCATGAAACGTCTTGAGATTTTCATCATGGTCGTCATTTTTCACATTTGGTATGTCGGTGTAAGGAAAATAGCTGCTGTCTTTCCTTAAGGAATCATATGCAGTGGAATCAGTGCTGCATTTGGTGATGTGCAGCAGGATGGTTTGTGAAGGGATGAAAAAAATTCAGTCCTAAGAGAAAAAAACTTCAATCAGGGAATGAACCAACAAAATGAATAGATAGTTCTCAGATGAAAAAAAAATAGAAATAGCAACAAACACAAGAAAAATGTAATCAACATATTGAGCCATCAGAGAGATGAAAATTGAAAATACTTTAAAATCCCCTCCCACCCCTGTCAGAGGGGATAACATCAAGGAAAAAATATGACAACAGATGCTAGTTGAGGATGTGGGGTAAGAAGATCCCTTATTTGCTGCTGGTGGTAACATAAATTCATTTAGCCACTATTAAAATAATAAAGAAGATTCTCAGAAAACTGCAAATAGAATAGCTCAGTTTATATCACCCTGGAGTATATATCCAGAGGACTCTAAGTCCTATCATAGAAACACTTGGACATCGATGTTATTGCTACCAGACTCACTACAGCTAAGAACATCAACAGAAAAAGTAGAACATGGCAAATATACACAGTAAAATATTGAGCTGGATAGGAAAATGAAATCATAACATTTGCAAGAAATAGGTAGAACTGAAGATCTTTATATGAAGGGAAATAAGCTAAACTCAGAAAGACAAACAACACATTTTCGCGCGCGCGCGCGCGCGCGTGTGTGTGTGTGTGTGTGTGTGTGTGTGTACATACATGTGGTAACTGAGTATTTACTGATTTACTCCATAATTTTAAGAATGCAACATTTTGTTACATTGCCCAGGTTAGTTTCAAACTGTGGATTCAAGTGCTTCTCTGCAGTTAAACTCCCAAGTATCTGGGACTCCAAGTCTGGGCCTCTATTTTATACAGTTTATTTTGTGTATCATGAGATGAAAAGAATTTTTGTCTCACTGGGTTTCATGTTTCATTGTTGAAGTAAAAAAATACAAATTATATATTTGTAGGTGACATTAAATATTAAATGCTTTCCTTGCAACACTATAATACTAAATTTAAATATAACTAAATATTTAAATATATTGATTATAAAGA